AAAGAAGGAAAAATGTGGTCAACAAAATCAAGTCATTTTAAGAAGACAAAACTGTCAAAATCTTTAGTAAAACTGATGGAGAAACCATGGATAGATTAATAATATTAGTAATAGAAAAAGGGACATAATTCCCAATGGAGAGGAGATTATAAACTATCGTAGAGAACATAAGAAATGAGATAACAATCCAAAGCATTCTATAAGGCTATACCTTCGTAGCAAAACCAGACGAAGATAGTGTAATAAAAAAAGTGTAAGTCAGTAGTACCCAGCTGCATGTGTGTATGAATGAGATCCTTATAATCACAATCAAGCAGGGTTTAGGAATACCGTTTTCAACATAAGAAAATCTGCTTTGGGCACTGTATCATGAGATTATGTTAAATGATAAAATATAATCTTCCCAATGGATGCAGAGAATTCATTATATAAAATTTCTCAAGATAAATTTTGTAAAATCTAGAACTTAAGGGAATTTCCTTAACCTCCAATAAAGAGGGTGTACAAAACAAGCCTGCAATTAATGTTTTTACGTCATAGTAAAGGTAAGAGTATCCCCTGTCAAATATAGGACAACACTTGTTTGATCACCCAGCAGACCTAGCCAATGCATTATGTTAAAGAAATGAGATGATTGTCAATGAAAGTAAAAATGAAATCATTAAAAGTTAAGATGTTAATATTTTTAAAATACAGGAAATTTTTATAGACAAATAGAACTACAGGAAAAAAAAAAAAAGGGTCAAGTTTACTGGATCCAAAGCCAGCATATAAAAAGCAATAGCAGGCTGGGTATGGCTCATGCATATAATCCCAGCATTTTGGGAGGCCAAGGTGGACAGATCATGAGGTCAGGAGTTAGAGACCAGCCTGGCCAACATGGTGAAACCCCGTCTCCACTAAAAATACAAAAATTAGCCGGGCATGGTGGCGCGTGCCTGTGATCCCGGCTATTCAGGAAGCTGAGGCAGGAGAATTGCTTGAACCTGGGAGGTGGAAGTTGCAGTAAACTTAGATCCTGCCATTGCATTCCAGCCTAAGTAACAGAGCCAGA